GGGGGGGGGGGAGGAAAATAGCTCACTAGCCATAATATTCATGCTTAATCTGACAGATCAATAACATTAATTGATGACATCAAGATACTGCCTTTAAAATTGAGCCGCAATGTTTATACAGGAAAAAAAAAATCCAAAAGAAGTTTTACCAAATTGGGGAGGAAAAGGCAAATGACTATGTAAACAAATGGAACATATCAACAAGGAGAAACAACAATAAATAGAAAAGATACTAAAACAGCATGTATAGAGTACCTTTGAAGATGACAAAACTGTGTGACAAAGCCAAAGTAGATCATCTGAAGAATTTTCAGAGCCTTGAAACAGCTGCTCAGCAACAAATGTATCCTGTAAAGAATAGCAATAAGCTAATTCCCTGACAAAAAAATTCAGACTATTAGTTGCCCTCGAGACAAGATACAGAGTATATAAATCCAAACAAAGAATAAATACAAAACTTAAGTTAACCTTTGCAGCTAAATCACCAATACAGTCTAAATTGCCAAAAACATTGAAAGCAGCAGAAAATGAAAAGGAACCAGCATGTGTCTTTATTAACGCCAAAGAAACTATGAATGCATAAAAGATGATAATCCTAAGAGAAAAAGTAGAAACTATAATCGCTTCAGCAACTGATCCTTCTCCTCCCAACAGCCCCATCCCAAAAAACTCGGCTCTTTTAAGCAAAACTAATAAGCACTCTTCGCACATAAAATCTAATGAAATGGTGAGAGACACAAAATCAACACAAGGCTGAACACTATTTCTTCCTAAGGAATCCATAAAACTGCTCAACTGATGACAATCTCCTCAACTACTGAAGACACCCAATCATCTACCAGTCAAAACATAATCCGCTACAAAAGACACCCAATCATCTACCCGTCAAGATGTATAGTGATACCATGCTAAGAAAGTTATAAAATACTATTTCACACCAGGCATCATAAAACTTACTCTTTCCTACTTTGACAAAACAACTCCTTCATGACCAATCCATTTTCGCTGAGTATCCACAGCTTATTTGGAGTAAGTTTTACATCAATGACTTCACCCTGAGGCTAGCCAAAAAACAGTAATCAAACATAACTTGCAATAACGATTCCCAAAATAATGAATACTTAGATTAATCAAGATATCTAAAGCAAGCTGCTCTTTGTCAAAAAAAGAACCTACAAAAAACTGTTACCTCTACCAATGAGATGCTTTTTGTGGAAGGATCCAGTAACAAGTTAATTCTATCCCCAGGACTGAAATAAAGGCTATACAAAGAGATCATCGCTGTGCCAACTTCCTTAAGTAACCCAAAGAAATAAGTCAAAGTTAAAGCTAAAGTAATAGGCATACAAAGGGCAAAAAGTGAAAATCCAACAATTGAGCACATAGCAAATCAATCAAAATCCTTATCAAAAAATAAAAACAAGTCAATCAAAACCACTGTGACCATACTGAACAATCTGCATTCGAAACATCCAATTTTGAGAAGCTAAAAAGAGGGGAAAACACTAAAGAAAACTTACAAGAAACAAGAATCAGGCCTAGTCATGATGAGCAAGTACAAACCTAATAAGTCATTGGGCTGGTTGATGACGTTATGAAAGGTGAGAATGCCAAAGAAATCAGCTCGAACGTATCGGAACAAATTCCATTTATAGGTGGTGGGAGCCACCTCTAAGCCATATGGTCCATCTAAATCCTCTATCACCCAGTGATCATCTAGCCAAGACCATTTAATTTCCTTTAAAAACCATCACACAACTAATGAGAAACAGGTGTAGCATTTCTAACACCCTTCGCGTGTAATCCATTTCTAAGGTTTACATGTGGACTGGTTTTTCTTTTTATGCTGCCTTTTACTATTACTATTTTTTTATTATTATAACTACTATTATTATTTCTGCAAGTAGAGAGAGGGGGGGCTCAACAGGAATAGGCCTCGAGTAGGAGGAGAGAGATAAAGCTCAACAAGCTAATGAGTAGGCCTGGAGCAATATTAGTGGCTCGATGGGTTGAATTGAGAAAGAGAGAGAAGTCCAGAGCAGCTCTATGGATTGAGTTGAGAGAGAAAAACATAGAGCAACAGCACATGAATATTGGAAAGCACTGTGCAAACGGCCTCACCAAAGATTGGCTTTGATACCATTTAAAAGAATCTGAGAATTCAACCCAAAACCTTAAGACAATGGGTGGAGTAGCCAAAGACCATTTAAACTCCTTTGGAAACCCACAACCAATGAGGGACAGATGTAGCAATCTCCAACAACTACCATCTAATTTCAAGCTACTTGTTACTTGGCAGTAAAACTAAGCAAATATAGAGCTCATGACGACTACCAAATAATTTCACATTGACAAAAGGTTACATCAGGTATTAACTGCAAGAAAACTAGGTAATATTTTATTAACTACCATTGGAAATGATGGAACTCCTCTAAATTCATCTACATCTGTTAAAAGCTCAAGGAAACAAGATACATGTTTTGGTATTATGCTAGAAGACACCTAAATACTTTTTCGCATATGATATTGCAATTTACAAAAGGAGCTGCTATTTTTGGCTAAATGAAAATATGTGTGGTGCATGAGCAATCTCATCACTGTAACCAAGCATGAGTTCCTGAGAGTCGGACGGTTTACAGAGATCAAGATCAGGCATCCAGTCCAAAAGGCATGTCATGTTCATTGAAGTCCGTATGTACTTCCAGATAAGTCCTTTCCGTTCCCCGAAAGGGACGCCTTTTGTTTGAATTCATTCTCTATTCCATTGCTTGTTTTTCTTTAAATCCCTTTCGGTCTAACTTTGTTCCAAAATAAGGCAAAGAAAAGACGGCAAGACCGATTTACAAGGTCCTCGTTTGAAGCGAGCTGATATATATATATTCAAAAGGCACTCAGCCTCGGCAAAGGAATCGAGTCGATCCCGACTGGCCATGATGGCCGATGCTTTGAAATCAAAAACTTTGGAAGAAGGAAATCAAATGGAAGTGTCTACAAGGGCAAAATTAAGTTGAAAGGGTTAAGTCCAACGCGACTAACCGTCATGGCAAAATGTGAAAAGTTAAAGGTTCCCCGATGCTCTGAAATTGAAAACTTTGGAAGAAATAAGTCAAAAGTGAAATGCCTACAAAGGCAAAATAAAGTTGAAAAAGGTTAAGTCCCACGCGACCAACCAACATGGCAAAGTTTGAAAAAGCCAAAGGTTCTCCGGGGTCAGAAATGCAGTTGGTATTCAGGAAACAATCAGTTGCAGTTGAAATCAACAAGAAAATGGGCCGCGATCAAGAGACTGAAACACTCAAGACCACAAAACCAACCACTGTTTTAAACTGACAATTGTTCTTTGTTGAAAAAGAGGAAGCGCACAATGCAGGAAAAACAACCTCGCAAAAAGCAGGTGCCACTGAAAGGAAATCGCGTGGAGATGACAATATAGCTACAAGAAACTAACTTAAAAAATGAATGAACATTGTGTGGCCAAAAGGGTGACTATGCACCAAATCAGAGCAAAGATGCTGAAAAGAATTGAAGGCAGGCCCCCCTACAACCCAAGAAGTAAATATGAACAATTTCGGTTTCCACGAGAAAAAGAAAAATAACATCAAGTGCACAAATCACAATATCGTCTTCTTGTTTAGTTACCAAGCACATATCTGATGTAAGTTGGAGGTTATTGCAGAATTATACGTGCTATGAGATTCGCCAAATAAGGAAATGACAAGCACAAAGCAATAAGGCAAATATAAGACAGGAAAAATGAGTGTACTCTTTGCAACATATTTTTCCCGACATATCTACACTACTACGCAGAATGTACCCAACTGATACAAAAGAAAGTACAAAGAAAAATGAAAATCTACAGAAAGACATGAATAAACTAGGAATGGACTTACCGAATCATCTTTTCGTAGTACTGCCAGAGGAATTGCATCAGGATTGTTGTGGTCGTTTCCCACCCATATCCTTACAAAACTGGAGCCTACATGCAAAATGAAGTAAAGAAAACCTTACATAAATCTGAAAGCATTGCCAGGAACCCTTTGTAATAATGAAAATAATGGAGTGACTGTTCCAAATAAATATGAAATAGCATCATGTTCGCAATTTGGAATGAAAGGACCTTATCCTTTAAACAGCTTCCTGTTCCTCTCCCTCCAAATTCTCCACGTTATAGCACATAAACAGGTTGAAAATATTTCTTGGAAAATTTGCTGACAATGTAAAGAAAAGGACCAAATTTTTCTTGTATGTGCTTTTTGGAAGGAAAGGAAGGTCTAAAATAAGAAAAAATTGACCTCCCTTCAAGAACCCTGAAAGTTGTGCAAGGCTTAGTTGGGAGTGAAGTCTGCTAGTGGGAAGGTTTTGGCACTTCTCACATAGCTTGCTTACTTATCAAACACACAAAAAGGAGCAAAGTTAAGTTTCCTACACCTCATTTTGCTTTCTTTACAATCAAATATACCTAAAGGAGTATTCACACATAAATGGATACCGGCAGATCGTCAGTACATTTATTCTTAAACCTCACAGTAATGACCACAAATTAACATATTCTTTGATAAGTCATCCAAAATAAAACCCTGCTCCGTTGAGTATGTACAGTAATGTTTTCTTACTAAATGTAGTCTATAACATGTCTTCCCATAGATTGACACCACGGATGGGACGTGAGACACATCCCCCTACGCCCTTGCCCAAAAAAGAAAAATTTGATCGTATTTTGGGGGCACCGGGAAGGCTCCCCCCCCCCCCCCAAA